ATAGAAATTTTAATCTACTTGCAAATTTATCTTCTCATTGTAAGTATTAATTTTTTACCAGCGCAAGAGACAAGTTAAACTGTAGGATGAGTTATGTAGATGAGTTAAATACAAGATTAGAATTTCAATGGTAATAATGACGTTCTTAATTGAAGGAATATTTTACTTGTAATATTATTCTTAAATATGAAAGTTATAATTATAATATTTGTCTCTCTCGGAAAGTAAGGACTCCAAATTAAATCCACGCTTGAAATCAGAACTTTAGCCGCTTTACTCGTTCAAAGAGCCTTTCCTGTCCAATTTTTTATATATAGATAATTGAATTGTTACGTTCCACGCGATCATGGCGGAACTTCTTTCTTTTTGGAATTTCGGAAATTTCATTCTCGAATTTATGTGCAATTTAAATTTATATCTAGATCTCTCCTGTTGAAGATATGAAGCAGGGATATAAACAAATTCCTCGAAATTGTTTCTCGTCGTTATTTATTAACGTTTAATTCCGCTAGTACCATCCATGCATTGAATTTTCAAAGCAAAGGGAACTCGTAAAAGCGGGAAATGCTGAGATAAACTCGCGATATTTCCTCTGCGATGCATGAAATATATAATGGTTTGTTGTTCCGATACATCAACGGTTGACAGGCAACGTTTATTGGAAAATAAGTATTATAAATATTCATATGATGGTGTCTGCGTAGACAAACAGTGAAGATCGTGGAATGTGCGTTTTTTGTTAGGAAAATTCTTTGAAAAGGCTCGGTTAAATCACCACGATAAATAAATTATTTTATTGCAAAATTTATATAATCCGGCATAAATACTTCAGGATAATTTTATCTTTAATATTTACTATTTATAAATAATAAAATACAATATGAAATATAAAGTATTATAACTATTAAATATATGTATTGTATAATGACAAAGTAGATAATGAATTCAAACTGCATAACGTATTATCTAATTTTTTCGATTTTGAAACAAATATAGAATTGATTTGTAATCTTTTTGGAGGATTGAAAAATTTGAAAAATACACAGATTAACTGAATAACCAAGTAGCTTGATATTGATTCGTATCGATCATGATAATATTATGTATCGATAATTGTTTTAATTGCACCGAACAACATGTTTATTATTTTCGTGCTTCACGTATCCTTGATTTAAAAGAAAGATCGATGATGCAGTAACTAATATTGTATCGTAGAATATAATTACGTTATCATACTTTTTTATGTTATTATGTGATATATATGTAGGAAACTTTCTGAAATTATATTGTTCAAATAATTGTTTATCTGTTTCTTTTCAGACAGATCCTTTCTTAATTTCTTAATCATTGAAATATCAAATTGTTTAAATCCCGATCTTCCTTATCATTTCACATACAATTGTTTCAATCGATTGGAATAAATCGGTTAATAAGTAATTTTTAAGTATACCTCTTCAGTGATTAATCTTTTTAAAAGCCTGTTTACGCAAATCAACGTTATCTTTCTATCATATTTCGTATGCCGCAATCCGACGATCGAATAAAATTCAAGTTCCATTCATCATGTTTCTCACAACTTTTTCACTGTTTTTTTTTTTTATTTTCGTAAGTATTCCTAATTTTTTTTTTATAGCTAAAGCAAAGAACATGTCAGGTTCCAAATTAAATCTTCAAGTGATAAAATGCAAAGACATGATTAAATTCGTCAAAAGAATATGACACAGAATCTCAAATATAAAATTCAAATTCACAACTAAAACTTTCTAATCATTCCGTTCTGATAGAATAAAATTATCAAGTGCAAAAACTTCAGTATACTCGCGCTGCAAAGGCCAAATATCACCAAACCCATCCACAATGATTAATGAACACAGAATTCTACTCCAGAATTTCAAATGAAAAAAAACTTTCGTATCCAAAACATCGTATTCGTTCAGAGATAATTAAACGATTGGCTAATATACTCCAAAACCTCGATTTTCCTGTAATTAAAATCGGAAAAGAGTTAACAGTTGGCAAAGCGTGAAGCTGAATGGACAATCATCGGAATTAAAACAAATCACTTGCGACATTTTCGTTCCCAGAAAGGGACCTAGATTGAATTCCTGGATCCCGAAACCAGGAATTAAACAAGAAATAAACGAGGAATGATCGTGTCGTGATGATAAGCCAAATTCTTGTCGCAAATCTAAACATTAATTCTCGACATAATTCCACGGAAATTCGAAGCGAAAAGGGAGGACGATGACAATCAACCGGGGGTGAACCTCAGGTTAGCCACAGCGTAGCCATTACACGTATGAATTGTAATTCTGATGGATGGCGACCGCGCGCTCCTCGTTATTCGACAATTATAAATTGGATCACTGACGCATGAGGCAACAGTGGCCGATACGTCATCAACGTAGATCGAGGTTCATCGAGCCGCCGCAGGAATTTAATTATTCGAACGGAGCCCTTCAACGTGGACAGGATACACTTCCGGCTGCTGTTGGAAATTAATGGGAAGACATAATTCTCGGGTTCGTTTGGT